AGAGAGAAAGTGTTGCATGCTGATCCAAATAAAATAAGTTTCTCCAACTTTTGCAAGCTCATATTGTCAACGGAAAACTTACATGAAACGAAAAGCTGGTAAACGAAAGTGGGTAAACGAAAAGCTTTTAATTTTTGATGCGAAGACCTAAAATAGTGAGCCCACTGTACTGGGAAAAAAATTGCTTAATATGACCAAAGTGGTTGAGCTCTTTCACATTCAACACATCGGCGGTAGACAACCGTGCTGTGTATAATGCATGTAACAATACAATGACACCAACCGCTCATTACTTGATTTTGAAAAAAAAATGTTATATCATTAAACATACCTGGTCGTGTCTCACAGACTCCATTAACAGTCCTCAAGATCAAAGTGACAACGAGAAACAGAAACCAAATATTAGAATACTGCATATGGTTCCTAAGAAAATAGCAAAAATATGAAAAAGTGTCAATCAAATGAGAGAAGAAAAAACAGCTTTGCAGCAAATGTGTTAACTGACAACAAGACTCTGGGTGAAAAGACCCTGGGTACGAGGTTGAACAGACAACTGTCTAAATTATAAAGAGACGAAAGAGAGTGGGATTTACTTTGCGGTCAGCCCGACAACGCGCTCAGCTTGGTCAACCATAAAACTACACCAAGTTATACAAAGGGTATAAAAAACTATTTCCATGCACGTAAGACGTTGCCGCCATTCTTCAGTCGGTTTTCATCATTCATGGAACCATTCTCAAATTAATATTCTTTACATGCATTAACCACGTTAATATGCATGTTCATGATATTAAAAGTTTTGCGAATTTTTAGGACACTGATAAAGCCCAGCCTCTACTCGCATATACTCAGTGCGGCCGATCTCATTTTTTGTACCGGTTCGTATGACGTTGGAACTGTTGTCTGCCTTCAAGGCGGCCGTCAACGCGCAAGCTGTACGTGCGATTTCGCGCACGAACACGTGTAAGTGGAAGCCTTAAAGCGATTCTGCTCATTGAAAATCTGCCCATGCGACCGTGACGGGCCTGAAAAAGAAAGCGCGGTATCGCGAAGTGAACATAATGGATAATCGACATCAAAGGGCTGCAACTGAAGCGTTTTTTGTACGTACGTACAAGCCGGTAAAATTGAAAATCACTTAGGAGGCTCTTATGAAATCAACGATTGAATAAATTCATAGGGTAGGTTTCTGTGGATGATTTGCTTCTCTTGATCATGATGTTTTCTGGCATAAAATTAATTATAGCTACAAGAAATTAGGTCTTAAACTTTATACCTTGTACGTCCGTGCACGTACGTACAAAAAACGCGACAGTGCAAAAAACAGCATTTTTATATTTGTTCATTTCGTCGCGCTAGCTGGCAGCTTTTAAAGTGCAATGTTCAAGCATGATTATACAATTTAATATCCGGAACGTAATTTCCTAATAAAGGGAGCCCTAATCAAAATTAATGAATATTTTCAATATTCAGTTAAAGGTTAAAATTATTTTTTAGGTTAGGTTGACTTCATAAAACACAAAAAAATACCACAAATTTAATGAATGCACATAAAAACTATAAATTCTGCAAGCTACTTTAGAATTTTAATACATCAACAACTCCTTATAAGGATATCCTACTCGGAAAACAGCCAATGAATGGCAAATATTGTTACCATAGCAATAGATATAGCTAACGCCAAATCGATTTAAAAAACAACGTATTGACAGGCAAAAAAAGGCGTAAAAAGTCAGAACTAACAAGTTTTTCGGGTATGTTTTTTATTCTTAATAGTCTTTTAGCCTTTTTGAATCAGGTTTCACACATTCTAGCCGTATGTGGCTTTGGTTTGTCGTTTCGTGTTTAAACCGGGCCGGATGCAAATTTCCGGCCGGCTGTGAAACGCTTCTCAGCCAATCAGATTGCTTCATTTACACAGCAAAATATAATATGATGTTCATTGTGCGACCACTTTGTGGTTCTATTATTATTCATTACTCTCATTGAATCTCTATCCTTTCTACAATTTGAACCCGTTTTCCGCGTTTCCGATTCGAGGAGCTTGTCGAGGGGTCGAAATCAAATTTTAGCCAAACAAGACGCCTACTCAGGCGTTTATAATGCAGTTGGGAAGAATGTTGCCTCTAAAGCAAAGCTCTCATAAGCATAGTTCTTAGTTTAAGAAAGGAAATCATCTGCGTTGGCCATTGAATAAAGAAAAAACAAATCAAGATATTTACGCTCTACTACTAAAATGCATAATCTATATTTCCTAAGATCGCTCTGAATGTTTCAATCACATCTACCACAGAATAGCAATAATTACTGTTTTAAATTGTTGGATACAAGCATAAAAAAACATAGCATACGAGGAGATACAGTTCCGCCGTATTTGTTGTGTGAAACTTCAAACTTCAAAGGTTCCGACGTCAGATTATCCACAAATGCACCTACATGCATCTATTTATCAAGGAGCAGCGTGGCAGCGTCTTCAAACAACTCAGTTAGCATCAATTAAATGTGGTATAACAACTGCTTGAATAGACAAAACACTTCTCGACGTTTTGACCTGAGGACCTTCGTCAGGAGAGTGGAGCTAATTCTCCTGACGAAGGCCCTCAGGTCAAAACGTCGAGAAGTGTTTCGTCTATTTAGGCAGTAGTTATACCACATTTGATGCTAAGTTGTTTGAAGACGCTGCCACGCTGCTCCTCAGTTATATTGGAACTTATCTACATCTCATCGCAGCGACCATGGTTTCTCTTAAGGTATTCATAAGTAATATTCGTAAAGAAATGTTTAGTCATATTACTTTCTATTCTCCGTTCATTCACAAGCTTTCCCTAGAATATTTTGACCTCATTTTGTCTAAAACTCGTTTTGCGAGTCACTTATCTTTTCTTAATCGTTATCTTCGTTCTAAAGTCCACTCTCCTGACGAAGGCCCTCAGGTCGAAACGTCGAGAAGTGTTTTGACTATTTAGGCAGTTGTTATACCACATTTGACACTAAGTTATTTATCAAGGAGCGCGTTTGTTACATCGAAGACAGGCATTTTAAGACTCCGCTGCTACGCAGACGTAAAAATACATGGAGGGTGAATTGTGCTAAAATGTACATACATCAATATACATGAAGTAAATTTTGTGAATTGAAAGTCTAAATAAATTTGAAAAATGCACGAGTTTTAATATCAGGCCTGACAAGTTCCGCAATTCATTTTGATATCGGGTTTTTTCCGTTTGCATACATTTAATTAAGGACTTCCGACAGCACCTTCCAAAGGCATATGGTTCATAACGCTCTAAACAATTATATAGCTTGCGACGTTGTTTGTGCGCGTGGTGAACTTTGGCTTTATGGAAGCTACAAAAGTATTAAAGTACAGATTATAATCATTGCATTACCGGCATTCAAAATACGATAAATTTTTGAAAGAAAGCTTTTTGATGATGAAGCGTTTATGACGTGAAATTAATGAATATTATTATGAACGTTAATGAAATAATTGCATGCACTGAATAGCCATATTGCCTTTAATGTCTGCATAACGCTAAGATGAAATCATGAAGCGTACGTAATAGCATTCAATTCGGCTAAAATTATATAACCCCATTACAAGCCTACTATTCTAGGATTATTTCTGTGTAACACATTCTGCGCTACCTCTAAGGGGCTGTTTACATGAGCCCGGTTACCCGAGATTCAACGAAGCGTAAGATGATTTCAGGGTATTGAAATGAGCAGATAACATGATCCTTGCATTCGCATAATCTGCACAACAATAGCATGTGCTTGTTTGGAGTCATAAAGACTTATTTCAATACCTCAAAGTCCTCCCACGCTTCGTTGAATCTCGGGTAAAGGGGCTCATGTAATCACCCCCTAAAAAGTTTAACATTGCAAATGTTTAATCTAATGTTGAACCAAATCCATAGCGATTGAACGAAATTCCGGCAAACGTTTCAACGAACGGTAAATCAAACGGGTGAACGCTTTTGGAACAATTTTGAATCGTTTCAATGAACGCTTGAAGCGTTTGAACGGTAAACGAACGGATAACGAACGATATTTTTCAACGAACGAAATAGCGTTAACGTATGTTTTCCTGTGGAAGGTCACATATATTGTTATGTAAACAAGCTTGCTAGTTGGTCTAAAAAGAAATTTCCCCTTGTTGATTTAGGTCCGCCTCAGATATCGAACTTTTCAATTGCCGAATCTATTGCATGCTAATAGCTAAAATCTTTGTTAGAGTTCATTACATGAAATCTATTCGGCACACACTATTGCTTTTAAAATTTGACCTTTTCCGAAGAACTTCAGGCGGCATGTAAACACGCTTGTTGACGTTGATAGTCTATTGTGAATGTCGTATAAAATGCCTTTGCTATGTCTTTATATTAAAGACTCATCCTCAACAAAGATATATCAACAACAACGCAATGAACGCATGACCGCCAGCTTCGTGCATGTGCGTTTTACGAAGCGTTAAGAGCTCGTTGATTTCGAACCAGAGGTCCCCTAATGCTCTTCAAGTGCTAAAGAGGGTCCGGCAAACAGTTGTTATAGCTGTATTTTTTTGTACACTCACAGTATAATTACTATTACAGTTTTACTGATGAACTAAAGTATATTCAGAAAAATCAATGCCTGCTCATAAAGGTCGTTATATGAGGCAAAAAGTTATTACACAAAAATGAATGTTAAAATTAATAACATGAATAATGCTTGTGTATTAGCTCTTTGTTAAAGTCGGTTAAACACACATAAGCTGAGCTTAATATTTGCTGCAGTTATGTTTAAAAAAGAGTCCCAATCTCAGAGACGTACGCCTTTAATGGAAAAGGCTATATAAGAAACACATATACTTTAATTTTCATATTAAGAGTAGATATATCAGATAATATAATCATTCATGATAATTCATAAACAACGTGTTGTGAAAACCGGACGAGTGCTAACTGACCAAAATAAACATTTCATTTATACCTACATCTGGTTTCAGTTATACCTACATTTTGGTCGATGTCCAGGGCTTGATCCTTGTAGAGCAATCCGAGCTAAAATAGTTCGGTGGTGTCAAATGCTGTCTCCAGTGTAATATTATTAAATGTATTTTGCTATCATCATTTCACACGCTGGTTGTTTCGACATGCTGCTATATACTGCTATAATTTACATAACACATTTACGCAATTTAGTGGCATGATTGACATAATCAAGAGGACAGTTAATAAGGAGGCAGTTGATCTACAACCGGATTTTCATCTATCCTAATTTGTCATAATTATGGTTAATGTATATATCATAATGCTTGTCGCAAATGGTTAATGTATTTCGGACGAATTAATTCACGCGCGAATTACGACTTTTGTCTGCTATTTACTCGCAGTTTTCCGCAGATAGCGAATTAAGCTAATGATTTTGCCTGCAGGCAATTTGTTCCGGAAGAATGAATTTGATAGCTTCAAAAGTACCACAGCGAACAAAACAAGTGGTTGTTGTGAACAATGTCGTCAGATCTCTGCGATCTTTTCTGCATGCAATATACAAAAAGGTGATAAAACTTTCAGCAGGTGTTTTAGCATTGATAGACAAATACGTGCACGGAGAGCAGTTTTGCCATGCCAGCCGAAGTCAAAGGCGAAATGGCTGAATTCTTAGGGGCAGTTTATACGGGCTGTTCATCCCGCTTGCCGGGATAAAGTTATTTACATCGCCTTTATTGGCTTTGCGTTTAAAGTTTATATCACATTTAAGAAATAGAAAACATTTTCCGTGTTTCTATACAGTTATAGAAACACGCGTGGGAGTTTGGGAGAACGAGAAATAATCAGTGGGAAAACGAGCCCGTAGGGCGAGTTTTTCCACGTTATTTCGAGTTCTCCCAAACTCCCACAAGTGTTTCTATAACTGTATAGAAACACAGGAAAAAATGTTTTCTATTTCTTTTATAATATAACTCAATAAAAAGATTTTGTACAAATATTATGATTCGATTCAATTACAAATTCTCATTACATCGCTTCGCTTGTCAAGTTCGGCGGGAAAATTCCCGTGTTTCTATACAGTTATAGAAACACGCTTCTCGACCAATCAGCACGCGCGTACTATAAATGTTATATTATAATAGTATATATATCAGCATCTATTAAAGTACGTTGCCACTGTTTGTTCGTTTTTAATCATGTAGTGTTCAAAACTATAAAAAGAAACGCCGAGAAACATAAGAAATTAAAAAAATTGGTTCTACCTCGGCAAACGGGCTAGGCTGACAGCCCGCTTGGAGAGTTCATATGAAAATATTTTCATCCCCCTAAGCGAGCTCTCGCCTCAGTTTCGAGCGGGATCTCGTTAGTTTTTATTAGGGAAGTTACCATCGCAAGAAAAATGCTGCCGTGCCGGAAATCTGGAAGCTAATTTGGTTCGTACGTTGGGGAACATGACTATCATTGTATGGTGTTGTCATTGGTAGAATTAGTGACGTACAGCCACATCAAAGAATATTAGATATTTGAGAGATTAGTTAGCTATATAAATTTTTTATGAGTAACATCATGACATCAGCGTATGTCTATTTAGCTGTGTGATCTATATAACACAATACACTTTTTTTTTAATATTCAAGAAAAATTCTTTTAACAATACATTAACATAAATTCACAAAGTATTTTTTTCTATAAGAAGTCCGCCTCTTGTGTCAAATATAATTTTACATTAATTGACGGAGAAAGTAAAAGTTACACAGACATTTCATTACATTAATTAAATTAGTTAACATGACACATCACACATGGCATTATTTACCTAAGATTGCGCATCATAGACATCACAAAACATCACAATACAATAGAGAATCCTACTTACTACGTACATCAAAATTTTCAACAATTAAAGATAAGGTAAAGTCCGTTCTGCGCATATTTTCCGCGCAGCAACACATTCCTTCAGTGGGGGAGCAACTTTCGGAATGTTAATGTATTAGATATTAATGCGTTGTATTACAAACGACAGTTCGGAAGCACAATTATTTTATTTTATGTCGCAAGGCGAAGAGGCTCGAATTGCGAGTGATGAAGATAGGGCTGCTAGAAAAAAGCAATATTATTTTGAAAGGAATGCTTCAAGAATTTATTTGATGAATGAGGACACCAAATGGCGAGGCTATTTGTCGTCGCTACAGACGCTACTTTCTCGCTTGTCCTACAATTACAAATATATAAACTTTTAAGTAACGGTTTATTTATGAGAACGAGAAGAAAATAAGAAAATTAAAACGACACATACGTCAAGTAAAGGTTGTATAACAAACGTAAACAAACATTGTTATGCGCGGTATATATGCGCAGAACGGACTTTATAACATCTTTCACACTGAATGCATGTACGTATATTGTGCAAAGTTTAAAATACTAATTCTTGAAACACAGTTCTCTTAAAGTTTATCACTGTTATAATGACATGGCTATATACCATTCGTTCATTTAGATTACTTGATGAATTGTGTGTTAGTGTTCTGTAGTAGAACAGTTTTAATAACCAATTAAAGGCCATTATTTGTAACTATCAGGTCCATGACGTTAACCTGTTTCCCACTGATACCACACAATCATCAGGTAACAGTATACCAGTAATGCATGGAATTGTTTTAAAGGACGTTATTTGTAATTACCAGGTCGATGAGGCAAAATTTTCTTTGGTTAAGTTGCCCAATGATATTGGCCCCTCAACCTCACTTTAATGTAATTGTGACATAATTACTGAAAAGGTCTATTAATGTTGCATGAAACTGACTTTGTGGATAACGTTGAAGGACTTTCCTAAAACATTTATCACTAAAATGTAATATTTATCCATGTAAAATATCCTATTGTGATAACAGAAACAGTTGAATACCTAGAACTGTAGAACATCACCACACGAACATATTTACATGCCTTCACACAGCTGTTGAACCTGTTGAATATTGGCCTCACGGCTGTTGAATGTGCCTTCGCATGGTTGTTGAATATTTGGCGATACGCGGGCTGTTGAATCTTTATTAATCTCGTATTAAGTTGAACTGCTTTGCATGAATATGCCTTCGCGTGGCTGTTGTTGAGTACATCACAACGCAAACGAATGCATTTATATTCCTTTACACAGCTGTTGAATATTTGGCATTAAGGCTGTTGAATATGCCTTCGTATGGCTGCATGTTGAATACTTAGCGATATGGCTGTTTCGATTTCCAGGCTGCGTACATAATAGAAATTCTGACGCCCCTCTCATTTTACAAACAAACTTGAATTCGTAATGAGCTCCCTGGAAATGCACAGACATCTCCCAAAGCAGTAAGCAGATCGAGATTTATGTCGACAATACATAACTGGGCCGGGGACTGGATACGAGAAAGCAAGAAAGTTATGTAACGTCAAGAATAGTGTGCTGCCTCGCTGAGGCTCGGCAGCAATTAGTGTCGAGATCTTGTAAGCCGGGCTGTCCCGCTAAGCGGGCGAAGTTCATTTTGATGGCCTTTATTAGCTCTTTTAGCTGTTGCTATGATTCATTGCAGTTGCTATGATAATTATACAAATATTAAATATTCAACTATATTGAACTAAGTGGTGTGGCTAGCATCTCAAGCGGGCCATTTTTTATATTACTACCTGCATTAATGCCAGATGCAAATTGTCTGTTTCGAATCAGCCAGAAATAATGAACTGAAAAGTGAACCGCACGAGTCCACATCTGACCGCTTATGGACCTGCATTTCTGGCAATGAATATACTGATTCGCATGCCTCACATAAAGACAAGATAAACTTAGATTACTGATTCAAATCTATAACATGCATGCACTAACGACTAAATAGAAGCTTTACTGAATATGACTTTAAACATGCAGATGACGCCTAAACAACTGCTTGGGATTATTTGCAGTTTGTATATTATGTCAATATCTCTTAATAATGAATTATCAGCTATATATGCAGTTTACAATTGGAGTATACCAACATTTTTAAAGCGCCAACGAATAGTTTTATGCATGATTATTGATTCGTAATCGATTGTGATAAAACCAGCGATAACAGCGCGTAACACAAAGGATTCCCGCAAAAAGCGATATCAAAGCATTCTTACAAAATGACTTCTGTCCACATTGGAGTTGTAAAACGTCCACACTTGTTCTTCCTTTGCAACTTCATGTTTGTCAAACTCATGTTCATGCAGTTGTGTTTGTTAGTTGACAGTTGATCTTCTTTTTCATTTTTCTTTGAAACACTTTGCTATAGGGCCATAGACAAGGAAGATCCAGTATTACAACAGGGATAAAATATCGTCAGAGAATAACAATTCATAACATGATTACGATTTTGAGGTCTCACTCAATTTCGGATGATTACCAAAAAGCTAAGCCTATGGGATCGCTGTTAGATATAAAAAAGAAATATAGAAAAACCGTGAGATCAACTACATTATTCTCATAATTATTAGCCATATTTCATAGAAACTGTTTCTTCAAGCGGTTACATCATCATTTTTCTCATCCATGAGCTCAACCTCAGCTGGGTTGATCGTTAAACAAAGCTTTCCATCCTTTAGTTGCTTTACATTGATGTAAGATTTCTACGAAAAAAAAATACTTTAAAGGCTAAAGATAAAAAAGTGAAAAACATAGTTATTACGCGGTTAGGGTAGTCATCTAAATGTTACATTTAATCCTGTTAGTGTTATAAGGATGTAATCGCATATTAATGACAGATTTAAATTTTATGTTTCTCAAAATTTTTGGACTAAGTCTAAGAGTTCAGCTATTTGTTCAGTTACACCATGCATGTTGACAAATTGCCCAAACATTTCTCGCGTTCGAATTATCACGCATATATATGGGCTGCCTATGGTTGAACTGTAATATTTGTTTTCAAAAAGCAATTAAAGATGACGTCATGGATAAGAAGACAGAATCGTCGAGGTTTCGGTTTTAAAACCAACCCGCACACATGCATGAAAGTGGTATATGATATCATTTACCTCATCATTACTCATCAAATCATGAAGACGTTGGTGGATTTCAGAGAAGGTTGGTCGATTCTTCACATTAACCTTCCAACAGTTTGACATTATTTCGTATCTGAGTAAAGAAAGC